GTTTAAAGAATGTGGTGCTGTAGGCTAATATTTAACAGCAGTCTCTCTTCTCTCGCTCAGAGCTGGTACATGCAATTAGACCCTGCCCTCCATCAGATACACTGGATATTATTTTCTGGGAGCATCTCTCAAAATGGAGGAAGCCCACCCTGTAGCAAGTACAGAATATACTTTGGGAATTGTATTTCTGGAAGTAGGGCAAGAAGTACTGGTGGAAGGACATGGTGAAGCAGGAAAAGAGCTGAAGAGGTGCTGAGAAGGCTCTTGTACAGGGGAGGGGGAGGAGAGAAACAAACATTGCAGAGAACAGGAAAAACGATGTGCTGGGAAATGATTAATCCACCCAAAGGCCCTTGCTAAGAAGTGGTGGGACAAGCTCAATGATTTTTGGCAGCCACGAGCTACTTCTGCTCTGCTCTCAACTCCCGTCTTGCAACCAGATGTGTTTAAGTACAGCTTCATCCCATTCCTGCCCCAGACACCACATCCCCCCGTCAGTGTCCTTCACTCAGTTTCTGGCAGCTCTCTGGCAATATGCCCCCTCCCATATGTGTATTTTACAGATGTCCCTCCACCTCCAGTAAGTGTTTCTCAAGTGAGCGGGAGCACACAATCCATGCTGGGGGAAGGGGGCGGGTGTCAAGTGTAAGAACTGGTGTTCTGTATCCTGTTGTTTTCCTACCAGGATTGTTCCAGTTTCCTGCACTGTCTTATCTGGAGCTGAAAAGCCAAAGCACTCATATTTACTTGCTTTGTGTGTGCCTCAGGTTTCTAATCTATGAAATAGATGTTATAAGACTTAAGAGAAACACAGCTAGGACTACTACAGGGTGGAGGGACAGGAACAAAGTGGTTAAAGGGCTTTCAGTGCCTATACAATTAGTTTCTTTATTTAGTTATCCTGCTTGCATAAGCCTGTGTATGTCACAGAGGGTTTCAGAGAACCTCAGCATACCATAATGCTGCACAGAGTCCACTGAAATGTAAAAAGAGTAAGATTCAGATGTTTACATTCTCAGGTGATTCCAGGTACCTGTGTTCGACAGACCTTACAAGAGAATCACTTTCAGAAAGTGCTGAGTATGTTTCCCCCCCCAGGGCTGAAACTAGACACAGAAAAGTCTTAAAAGGGAATAAGCATTTCAATGCTTTCAGTCAGCCTTGAGTTTTAAGAGCTCCACTGAAATGCTGTAGACCTCTTTGAAATTACTTGGCCACATTTTCTTGAATACAGAGGTAAAATAAGCATATACTGTGCTGACATCTTAAAAGCTTACTGTGTAGATCAGACTCATGAAAAAGCAAAATCTTGCAGATTTTTTTTTTTAACTTTTTTTCCTCTAATGACCATGAATTCACTTAACTATAGGTTATATTAGTGCACTAAATTCCCTATGGGTTAAAAAAAATTAAAAGAAAACATTTACCGTAGAGCTTTGGAATGTCCTGTTTTTCTGCACAAAGGTGTGGGTCCTGCATACACAGTGTCCATTATCAGATGGGAGCCTCTACTGGGAAGATAATTAAAATGCTGCATCACTCACAGCCATGCAGATACAGAACCAGACACAAGGTTTCAAAACAAAACTCAGCCCCCAAACCCCAACCCCAGAACCCTCCCCCACAGGGATCCTGGTTTTGTTGGAAGCAGGTAAAAATTGCGGCAATGGTCAAGATGGATTTTTATTAATTGAAGAGATGAAAAGTATGTCAGTTCAGCCTTTGTGGGTAAATACATATTTCATTTCCCCCCCCCCACTCAGTTGTAACTGTAAATTCAGACTAATTCTGCTTGAGTTTCTTTGGAGGTGCTCTCAACTGATGTAAATACGAGAGCAGGAGTGGGCTGAAGAAGTATCCTTAGTTGGTTACCAGAGCCTTTATTTGGAACTAAATATCAAGAGAAAAAAGGCTTTTTTTTTTTTTCTCTCTCTCAAAGAGATCAGGAAGAGGAAAACATGTGCTTGGAGATAAGGAGAGATAAAAGCATTCCATTTAAAGATGCCTGTGATAGAAATCAAGATGTTCATCTGCCAAGTCAGTAATTTCATGGCCTTATGACCATGCAGAGCTTCCGTTTCTATTACCTTTTCCCACACTAACTGTAAGCACCAACTTATTGGCATGAAAGTTTAGTTTGTCCAAGCAGCTCAGCCCTTTAGGGAGGAATTGCACAGGTTGAACTTGAAGATAAAACTCTCTTTGACTTCAGAAGAGGAAAAACAGTTCTCCCATAAGTTTACATTCAGCTGTGAGGCACAGCGAGGCCCAGGAATAGGTTGTGAATTCTCTGTCCTTGGAAGGTTTGAAGACAGGTTAGACGAACACCTCTCAGGAGAAGTTTGGGCAGAGCTCATTTTTCTGTGAGGAATGAGGACAGCTGAAATGGCCATTTGAGGTGACTTCCAACCCTGTTTTCTGATTCATTAGGAGTGAGATCACGGTGACAGTAGATCCTATACAACACCTAGATTAACAGAGGTCAAGAGCTCAAAATGCATTTGCTGCTTTAAAATAGGTTTTTTTGGTCTGTTTTTTGTTTAAAGCAAGCGGCGGATTTCAGTTCGAAAATTCTTTGAAAATCCTAGCTCTGCATGTTTCACAAGCTAGCATATGCAAACAGCAAAGCATTCTAGGCTAAAATTATCTGTACTATTATTAGAAAGCCATAAGAAGGAACATATGGATTGATACTAGCGTAAGTGCAGAAGGGCCCTCCAGAGCTGTGCTGCCGTGCAGCAGTTTCACCCCCAAACAGGAGCGGTTCCGATGCCTACTGTTCATTCCCCATGGGGAAGTATAACTGATGTGCTGCGAGAGATTTGACCTGTGCTTTTCTCTTTGAAAGGGACATGTAGTTCCCTGCCCTGTCTCCTGAGGTTAGAGAGGGCTGTTCTTGTATGCTTTGCTTTTGTTTGCTTCCTTTCCTGACTTTGCCTAACTACCGAACACTCGTTAATTGTTATACAGGTATTTGTCATTTTAGTCATTACCCCCGCTTCGCTCAGGCAGCAGACAGGCTCCCTCATGCTGGGCAGCATGGAAGCCCACACCGCTTTCATGGCTTTTTTTTTTTCCTTCCCCTTCCTGCTTGGAACAATTAAACTTTTGCCCGAAGATTTTGCATGCTTACTCACTTAGGCTTCGCATCCAGCAAGACATGTTTAGCTTTGGCATCAGTGGATCGAAGCATTCATTTAAAATTAAGCATGTGGGTAAGTGCCCAGCCACCTGCAGCCTTGGAGCTCAGCAGCCTGTTACTCTGCTGCCCCTTAGTTTCTGCAAGTTTGGAACTGACAGAGCAGGGCACCTGTAAACACCCTTCCAGGGGGCTCCTCCTCAGTGCAGGAGCTTGGCCAAGAGGCAGTTTCACATCACTGGGTTTTGTTGGTCTCAACCCTGCTCTGGAAGCCCCTGCTGCTGGATGGTGAGGATGGGGGTACAGAAAGGGCGAAGGCAGCTGCCCCCTCCCACAACCAACCAGGCGTCTTTGGGTGCGCCGGGGCCCCTCAGACCAGCCCTGCTGACAGTGAGGGGGTTTGGGTTAGTGGCCTTGGGGAACCCCAGGTGACCCCATCCTGGTGCCAGGCTGGGGAGGGAGAGGGTAAGGGCCTTCCACTGCATGGTTTCCACATCCCCACCTCATGTCACTGATGCTGGCCAAGCCCTGCAGCAGCCACCACGCTTCGCCCTGCACATGGGTCTGGCAGCGGCCACCCCTGGGCAGCCCGGCCAGTCACACTCTTACAACCCTTCCTCAGGCAAAGCTCCTCAGCCTCACCCAGGTCCCTCCTCGCCCTGCCACCTCGTGCGGAGCTGGTAAGTATGGCCGGTGGAGGAAGGGCACTAAAGGCACTGGGCGTAGCCTCTGCCTCAGATGCTGGTGCACAAAAGGGCTTCTGCAGTTTGGCAGTTTCCTGCCTGTGCACTGACAGGCTTTCCCTCAGTCTGACTAGCATACTGTGAAAGAAATCCCTGCAGACAAACACCGCATTCACGGATTACAGAGCAGCCCTATATCTGTCAGCTGGGATGGGCTTCTCCCATCTTCCGCAGCTTGCTCGGAGAATAGGAGCATGCAGAGCAGGAGACCCAGAGGCTTGAGCTCATGCACCCGGTGACATGTACTCACAGTGTGTGAGTGTCATGTCATTCACCCGGACATGTACTCAGTGTGCTGGGCTGTCTGCACGTGCATGCTCACCTTCAAAGCCAATAAGCGCCTGTTCTCACCAGGAAGCCGCGTCACATTTAGACCAGAGTTGCTCAAAGAACCAGTTTAGACAAGATTCCTGCATCCAGTGTTTTCAGTCTGGCATCTTTTACCACCACTAAATGCAAAGCTTTTAATTAATAATAGACTAAGATGCCTGGAGCAAAGACTGCCATTATGAACTGTAAATGCATGCAGTATCAGTCACATAGCATCATAAGGCTTCTTGGCTCTCTTGCAATATGTATGTTGATGGTAAGTTATGTGACTGATTGTTCTTCTCTAACCTGTTACACAGAAATGACGATGACTTTCCAGACTACCACACAGAACGTTTCAAAACAGATGGGAGAATTTCAGATTTAGTCTCTAGTAAATATGAGTTACATATGCAAATAACTAGTTAGGAAACTTCCTCTTCTTTTTACTATTTGAAAAGTCAGTAATGTCAGGATCTGAACTAGCTTCACTATTTCTGGTACTTCTGTTTCTGCAGTTCACTATTTGGAGAAGTAAAGATTGCTAACCACAGCCTGCGTTCAAAGTGCCAGGGCTGAAAGGAACATCTTGCAGAGTCTGGTTTTTAAAATTCTATTTTCAATATTTATATTTTGTTTCAATTTTGATTGGTACACTGTAGAGGCTAATCCTGCAAATATTTACACAAGTCAAGCTTTCTATATATAGTTCATTTGAGCTCAATGGGAGCTCACCTTAATGAAGGCACATGTTCTGCAGTAGCATTTATTTTGGACTGAGCATTGAAAAAATCTAGTTGCATCTGCTAGCCAGATTTTTTTAATATATATGTATATACACACACACAGACACACACACACACACACGTATGATGATTATTTTAGGTTCTGAGAGAAAGAAAGAATATTCAAACAGTCACTTACTGATCTCCACTTGAGAGAAGGCTCAGTGAGATAGAAAACAGCAGCATGGTAAGTATTCTTTTATAGCATAAATGATACCATAGACAATTGTTTCTAAACAGAATCAATTATGGCATTAAAAATTGTAGATTTTTTTAAAAATAAGTTTTAGATATGTGGATGCAAGGTCAATTTTTTAGTTTCTGAAAAGCATCCCACAAACAACTTCTTCGTATATCCAATTTCCCTTTGATGCAAGTAGTGCTACCATTTTGACAGATGAAAGTAGTATGAGCCCTGTTGGCCATGGGGAGGTGGGAGACTGAGGAGCTGATTCCTGACACTTTCCCTTATTATTTTCCATAAGTGAGTACAGAATTGGCCATGGGTACAAGCTTGCTTGGATCACAGAACTCAGACTTGCAAGCAGAGCACTACACTTCAGCAAGTTACCCTTCCATTAGCTGAGCTATGGTCGCTGCTGGGGTGGTTCAGCGAGAGTGTTAATCTCAGTTATGCTGTGGGTTTAGAACACGCACGTGAACAGCTGCTGTGGCTCAGCTGAGGTATGATAATTTCTTAAGCTGAGCTACTTGATCAGGATTGAGAGCCCATAGGTACGCGTAAGTTATATCTATAATAAATTCATCATTCCAGGACCATGCCCACAAGCTACCCTCCAGGTCTTCAAAGTGGACACATTTATGACTTTAAAAGAATGAACAAATTGTTTTTTAAAAAGAATCATGAGAGGAGTCACTGATGTACAATTATTGCTTTATTGGGACGGGGCTAGAAACAGTCCCCAGCACTACTATTTTATGCACATCTGCTTTCACTTATCTCCAACACATTTTTACAGAATGAGAGTGTTGGTGATGGAGGGTGCAGCGATGCCAGTTCACTTCGCATGGATCTCTCCAATCTTGTGACCTGGGCACACACTCATGGGACCATATGCAATCAAATCCCAGCCTTGGAAATTGTGCAGAACATGGGTCATCCTAGCAAGGACAATTCTGTTCTGTGGATATGTGGAGTTGGACATGCGTATCACTGGCAGTGTGGAAAATTATACATCAGAAGCAGAGAAGAGAATGAAACTGTAGAAAAGAGAAAGAGGTTAGTATCTTCTGAGGTGCCATCAAGGGAAGCTAATTTAGATGAAAAGAGGTTCAGGATGACCCCATCTTTTGAGAGGGCTAAAGCAGATGCTGTTAGCACAGGGTCACGTAGCAGATCTCCAGGGGTCACTCAGCAGAAAGATGACACAGTCTACATAACATGTAATGAACCATCACCCAGAGAAAATCGGAAAAGTAGCAAAGTAGCATGCTTTGCAGCAGAGCAGCATTTGTCAATATCTGGTGGTGAGGTCAAAACTGACAGACATAAGGTGAAGCTAGAAAGTAACGAAGATCTACAAATCATATCTGATGAAGAACAGTGTATATCAGATGAAGACGACCAAGGAGACAGAATCAGCCAGAATACTCTGTCAGAATCACCAATTAAAGGTGTGACTGCTGAGGTAGATTTGCAAATGCATCACACACAGATGGCATTTAACAAGCCGACAGCCACCCAAACATCTGGCTTCGCACCCATAGGAAAGCCACCCCTAACTCTTGCCTGCATTCTAAAGTCCCCTGTCAGCAATCAAGAGAGCCTGGACAGAAGCTTCTTGAGGTTAGGTCCTCTTAATCCTGCAGGGTCCATAACTGAGACTTCTAGAGCAAGAAATTCCGCTGGATCAGCAATACCAAAAGAACATTTTAAATCTGTTCCCATCTCCAACATTGAAGCGAAGGCCCAACTCGAGTCACCTGCCTCTGTCACATTCTTTGAGTTTGAAGCCACTGTAGATGTCCAGCAGCAACTCCAGCTGAGCCCTCCTGAGCATAGTGTACCAGGTATAGGCTTAAGTGGGAACATTACTGAAAACCCTGCTGAGGAGAGTGAACCGTCAGGATCTGGGCATGCACCTCATCTTTCAGCCTTATTGAGTCCAGAGAGCGAGAATGCAGACCATCCACCTGCATCTTCAAACAAAAGTAAGAGAGTCTGGAGTTTTATTCCTGGAGGGGTTTGTGGGTGTGCGGGTACATTCTATGAATCACTTTCCCAAAGTTAATTTAAAGGAGGGTGAGTTCATATAGCTGCTAAAATCTGTATTGTAGCATCTGAGTAAACGCCTCTGATTTGGGGCACTCTGTTTCTACTAAAAGGGATGGAAAAGGCTCCTCCCTTGAATCGGTACTTCAACAGATAATGCCGTTCACTGAGGTACCCAAATGTGTACTTGGCTGTGGCTCAGCCTTAACTACCCAGTTTGAATACTTTGGTCTTTCATTTTACTTACTATCACCACGTAGTATGTTGGCTGTACTTAAGAGAGTCCCTGTGAGAAACTGGAGCCAGAGATGGGAACTCAGCTATCAAGGGAAGAAAGCAAGAGGAAGTAACTTTTAAAGCAGTGAAACAGAGAAATTATGGCTGAAACTCTGGCTGCACCAAAGCCAATGGCAAAAATCCCAGAGATTGCAATGGGAGCAAAGTTTCAATCCTGCATATTAAATTACATGAGCTAAACAAGTTGCTTTAGTGCTTTTAAGAATTTTAAGATTTTCATACACGCTGTCCTTGGAATCCTGCTGGAGTGGGGAGAGTTATAATTGCTCAAACATTAACTTGCAAGATACACTGCTTACTAGGGAACTTTCAGTACCAAGGTTAAGCCATGCACAGAGTGTATTTTAAATGTTTGCATATCATAAGAATATACTGTTTGACGAAGATTTTAGAAGCCTAGCTTGCAGCTGTTTTAATCCTGCTATAAAACAGACACCATCTGCACAAGAAGGAACAGCTGATGTGCAGTGTTTGGACATTATCAAAATTATGCTGGTCTGTTGCAAGTAGTGGGGAAGCCATCAATGGAATAGATTTAATTCATTTAATAAATGATCATATTTTAGGATAGATGTGTATAATACACTGGAGCCTTAATGCCAGGTACATATATGTTATTTAACCTAATGATTAAATAGAATGCAAATGTCCAGGTTTTTAAGGATGTTATAGTAAAGCCACAAAATTTGCATCTGTAATGATTTGAGTGCCTGCAGGTGCTATTTCACATTAATACCAAGTAAACTGCTGACTAGTCAGTTTTATGGTTTTAATCTGCTAGTATCTAGGTGTAACATTGAACTATATTTTAAAAATCTGCCTCAAAGAGTAAGAGTATATGTTTTCCATCCAGTGGCTTAATGCCTTGGCTCCATCTAACTGAGAAGCAGCCCCCAGCAGCGTGTCTCACTTCCACATGCTCACTATGAGAATCCCATTTCATATTCCCCAAAGCGTGTTCTGTTCCCACAGTCACAGTCCAGCCCCATGGCCTTGTCCGTGGCACGCCAGGTGCCCAGCCTGGCAGAGCTGCCGCGGCACTGCCCTGTGGCCACGCAGGATGCTTCCCGACTGACCGCATCTCCAAAACTCCTCCCTAGCAGGAGGGCAGGGCTGTAACTGCGCTGCCCCCCCTCCCACCCCAAATACACCTGTCCCACTGCACCAGACATTTATACCTATTTCTCTGCTGAAATAATAACCTATCTATCTCAACTAGCTGTAACATTAAAGAGCAACAGTCTACTGCAGGTTTCTGCAGCGCAGGGGACTGGACAGCATCCTTCAAAAGAAGGGAGATTACTGAAATAGTATTTTGGGGTTTGTCTGTAACACAATGGGTGGACACTTAAAGCACCGTTAGTATTCCTGAATAGACTCAGGGTTACAGACATTCGTGTTCCTTATGGAGCCACAACCGTACAAACTGGCACTGTTGTTCTTTGTGAACATTATTTGACTATTTTTGTAATTGGCAACATATATCATCAGAAGGGACTGGGAATTCATCTGGGAATGTCTGTGTAGTAGCCGTTTCTGCCAAGATAAATGGCTTATGGCTCAAGCGAGGCCTCTGCGTGTATTGGTTTAGAAGCCATTCATCTCTTCACATAGAGCAGTCAGTAACAAAACAAGCAAAAAAACCAAAACGGCAGCACAGGGATCACCTCAGAATCCACCTCAGTCCAGCCACAGCATTTTAAGATAACAACTAAGTACGTATAAAATAACTTGGTGCAAGAAGGGGAATCTCTAGATGTTGGCTCTAGAATCCTTTTCAACCTACCCCTCTTCAGCCCTGGAAGAGTCACAGGCGAGCAGATGGAGCTTTTCAGCAATCCAAAGAATTAATTTCTCATGCTACATCAAACTAGGTAGATGTGGTATTGCCATAGCAACTTGAGAGAGAACCCAACTGGAATCCTGGCAATCCTTTAAAAAAAATAAATTACACTTTTACTCATCTTTTTGTTCTCCCTCACTGTCTACCCCTAACTTTTGGGTAATGTTTTTATTTCACAATGAGAGTTCTCCTGCCTGAAGAGATTTTTGTAAAGAAGAATGCTTTGAAATGTATTTTGCATAATACAAACTAGATCGTACAACACTTTGAACATATGAAGTAGACGCTACTTAGTCCCGAGGCAGATCACAAGATCCACGTACAGGCCAACTCCCATCTATTTTAACAGAGCAGGAGTTTGGCCCCTGCAGTCACCATAAAATACACGCCAGAGTAGTTGCAAATTGATGAAAGTATATCAAGTCCATTTTGGGTTGCTTGGGCTTCATAGCCAGCACTGCAGGCTCAGGACTGCAGCCACTGGTTACACGGCTGGTCCCACGAGTGTGGTCCTACGAGCACACTCGGAGTCAACTCCAAAATCAGCCAGGGTGAAGTTCAATGTCAAGCCAAGCCACCAGTGACAGGTCTGGTCTCCAGTCCTCTACTGCTGTCTGAGAAGGCCCATAGAACTTGCACCAATGCTTTCCACCCCACAGTGGCATTCAGTGATTAAATCTCGTTAGGAACTCATTCTCTCCCACTTAAACATAATCCAAAAAGAAATAATATCTTAAGTTTATCTACGTGGTAGTATGCAGATTCACCAGCCAAGTGAGAAAGAACAAGAAAGGAGGCAGTCCTTTCCCTGTCTGGGCTGGCGCTGTCAAATGGTGCTGGCTGGCTTGTTGAGGACATGGATCTAAACCAAAGCTTTAAAGGAAGGGAGTTGCCAAAGTCCCATAATCTCTGAATTACTTTTAGAAGGAAGGTGAATGTTATTCTGCATCTCCTTATATTTCACTGATCTCCTTGTAAGTTCTTGCTGTCCACAAAGCTGTGTCTTATCTTTTAGATGTGTCGAAGAAGTGGGAGAAAAAGAGAAACCGCAATGCTGGCGATATAAAAGTTTTCAAAGACTGGCTGGTTTTACATTGCCCTTCTGAAATGCGCGAGATCTATAAGCTGCCACCCAAAGACCTCGATAGTTACCTGGCCTTGTTCTACAGTTCTGCAAAGAGACAGAACGGCACAGATTTCTCTGCCAGTTCTTTGCACTTCTTTCAGAGCAGCATAGAGAGGTACCTCAAGGATCACAACTACGAGTACAGCGTGGTTAAAGGATTGGAATTCAGAGCGTCTCAGGAAGCCTTGAAACTAAAGCATCAGCACCTATCTCAAAAAGAGAGAGAGGGAGAGTGGAATATTTTGGAGAACCTGACAGATGAAGATGTGGAAAGTCTTCGTAAGAAGGGACTTTTAAGTAAGACGCACCCTCACGGCTTTTTGCACCTCATGTTCACAAATATCATTAGGGGGTTTGGGGCAAGTACACATAGTCGGAGCCATAACGTGTACTGGGGACAGCTTGTGCTAAAAAAGAATGAGGGAGAGCTAGAGTACTTGGAGTGGAAGGATGATCTGAGTGCAGAGGTACATACAGGGGAGTTGGGTCCACGTCTCTTTGCCAAGCCTGACAATCCAGATAACTGTCCAGTCACAGATTATAAGGAGTATGCGAAGAGGAGGCCACTGGATATGCTTCATGACTACGATCCACTTTATCTAGCTCCCAAGCCTCTGTGCTCCATATGGGACCAAATATGGTACTGTAGAAAGTCACTGACAAAAGCCAAAATGGAAAAGATCTTGAAAGTGATTATCCAGCAAGTCAAAGGACCTGTGAAGAAGTCCAAGAAATAAAGGTACCTGTTTAGTTTCTGCTGTGCCACTTTTTGATAGGAGTACGTTTCAAAGTAGCCTTTGAAAGGTTTAAGTGGCAATGTTTAGTATAGGTTGAGGAGAACATCCTTCTCCTCAGTTTCACCTTAGAACATAAGTAATCTACAAATTTGCATCACCTTAGCTTCCAGGTTAAGTGAAAAACTTCTGTTGTTCTTTCTATTAATGGAATTGATAATTCAGTAAGTTAAATAAATAGGAGAATCTTAGGTTTCACGTTTGCAAAACAAGTTACTATTCTGTATTATTAATGACATGATAAAACAGCTAATGTTAACATGGAGAGGGCTCAGTAGCTGAATCGCTTGGCTAGGTGTTTAAGCTGCACTCATATTTAGGGGAGCTGACACTTGTAAACAGCATTTAGTCTGTAGTATAGGCCTATCATAAAGAGATAAGTAACAGGAGTTAGTTCTGGGGTGGAAGGAGAATGATGAAATGCCACATTTGCCAACTGCTGATCCATATCTCATGGGAACGCTTCCAACAAGGTCTATGTCATTTTTCTTAGTGAAGGATTTGTAGATGTAAGAACTTGTGACTGTGTTTTAAAAAGTTACTTAAAATGGCTGACAGCGTTGAAAGGTTTTATGGTAAGTGTTTTCCCCAGAGTGCTAAATATAGCTACATAAATACACTTTGGTAGACGTAGTCAACTTTTTTTCAGCTGTTCAAGTACTATGCAGTCAATATGTTGTCTTACAGTCCAGTCAAGTTGTTGGGTTGAATTGTTGACATAACCCAATAAAAGAACATTTTACTCCGTCCCATTTGGCTGGTCTGTTTGCTCTGCAAAGTTGAGGCCAGTAACCCCAAACTAGCAGGTAACGGTTTCCTGAAAGGCCAGCGCGTTCACTTCTCGTGCTCAGGTTTCTCCTGCTCTGAGCCTGTCGTTACTCAGCATTACGGAGCTGACCCCGAGGAGGATTTGGGCTGTTTGAAATCCCACGGAGCCCACGTTCGTGGTTTCCTAACAAGGTCTTTGTGGTCAAACCCTTTACCAGAATTGGTCCTGTTCAAGCAACATTTAATATCACCAAATAACTTATAGATGTTTAAAGAGCCATAAAAAAAGACAAGCTCACTTACTCAAATGCTTGGAGGGCATCTTCCAGCTTCCCTCACGCTGTCAAACGCAGACGGCGTTAGGACTGCCGCAGCCATCGCTGAAGGACCCGTCAGTGCCCAGGTCAAGCCCAGCCACGCGTGCAGCTCTGTGCCCAGCCGCTCAGAGCCAGAGCAAACCCCCTCCCACGGGGCTGGGCTTTGCTCACCCTATCAGAAGATAACCACCAGATCAGGCTTTTCTTTCCTCTGCGCTGATCTGTTTAGTCCACACCCCAAAGCTCGTTAATGAAAGGTGCTGCTGCCTTAAAAATCAGGTGGCACAATTAGCCGGCAGCGTTCAGTTAATCCCCTCAGGAGCACCTCCTGGTTCTCTGGGTGGCTACAAGAGAGAACAGGGCGGGCAAGGGGACAGGCAAACGGCTGCCCCCAACACGCCGTTACCCGGCGCTAGAAAGCAAACCTCCCAGAAACAACAGGTCACCCTGCGAAACCAGGATCGCCGGCCCCCCCCCTTGCCCCAGGCTGCCCGCAGCAGCGCCCGCACACCCGCGCCCTTCCCCGGCCCCAAACCTCGGGCTGGGATTACAGGGCTGAGCCGCGAGCGGGGCTGTGGCGGCCGGGCCGGGCTCGGAGGCTTTGCCAAGTGGGCACGGCAAAAGAGAAGGGAGTTCCGTAGCGCTGCGTGCGCTAAGGATGCGTGCACGGCAGTCTTGCCCTGAAGAGAGCCTGAGGAGGGAGAGCAGCCCTCCCGCCGCTAATAAACCCCGCATTTCCCAAGGCCACATGCCACCGGCCGGGGAAAGTCGCTTGCCTCTGTGTGCACAGGATATCCGTGGATCCCATTTATTTGTGTCTTATGGGGTTTTTAAGCTAAAATTCTGGTTAACTGCACTTCATACAAATGAGTAGCATCCCGTGTAATATGCTAAATTAGACCTCATCGAGGGTTTGACTGCTGCTCACAAAAGAGAAGATCAGCCAGAGAACTTTCATTTCATTTCAGCGAGGACGTGGTAGTATCAGAAATTCTGAGTAACTGTCCCAGGGTATGTCTTAGCAGCTCAAACTGCAAACCTCATTTCCAATAATTAGGAAATTACCCACAGTTGGCTGTTGCTAGGAGCAGCGTCTGCGGCAAAAAAGGCTTTTCAAAGATCGCAGCCGGAGGACTTTGAGTACGCTTTTACTTTGAAAAAAAGACAGGAGGAAAACGGTACCGCAGTTTCCATTTCTATTGCGCGTTAACAATGTCCAGCTAAAGCAGGGTCAGTTTATCGGCTAGAGGATGCCTTTTCAACCGCATACAAAAACCATTCCATGAGTGATCTAAGAATTGAATGTTTATGACTGGTCGGGCTAAAAATACTTGTAAAAGTTTGTGTTTTAATTAAATGCATTTGCGTGTGTATTTGGTGGAAAAGGATTTCTAGGGACATCTTTTTCTGCGAGAAGTGAGACCGAATGCTCTTGGCTCGTCAGCGGGACGCCCTCCAGCCCTCGGGCGAGGGCTGAGCTCCGGCCGAGCTGCGGGCTGGGCGGCCGGAGAGCCTGCGGCCTGGGGAGACGGGGGCTGCCGCGTTCC